AGCTATCCTCTTTGTAGATCAAGTGGATTTCAAACCAACATTGATTAAGAGAGACAAAGAAGGACACCACATCCTTGTAAAGGGAACAATCCAAGAGGAAGAGATGATAATCATAAATATATATGCACCAAACACTAGTGTGCCCAACTATATAAAACAAATACTAATGGACATGAAAAATCAAATAAGCACTAATACAATAGTTTTGGGGAACTGCAATACCCCACTGTCACAAATAGATCAACTAGACAAAAAATAAACAATGAAATAATAGAACTCAATCAAACTCTTGAACAAATGAACTTAACAGATGTTTACAGAGTGTCCTACCCTACAAATCAGAATACACATTCTTTTCAGCTGCACACAGGTCATTCTCTAAAATAGATGACATACTTACTCAGAGAACATATTCTAGTAAGTGCAAAGGAATTGAAGTTTTCCCCTATATATTATCAGACCACAGTGTGATGAACTTGGAGATCAATAGCAAAAGAAACTGCAAGAATTTCATAAACACATGGAAACTGAACAATACACTTCTGAATAACAAATGGGTCACAGAGGAAACTCAAGAAGAAATCACACAGTTCCTACAATTAAATGACATGACAATACAACATATCAGAATCTATGGGACACAATGAAACCAGTCTTATGAGGGAAATTCATAGCAGTGAACGCTCATATTGGGAAAACAGAGCAAGGCCAATTAAACAACATGATGCTGCACCTCAAGCTTCTAGAAAAAGAAGAGCAGGACGAACCCAAAGCTTATACAAGGGAGGAAATTATAAAGATCAGAGCAAAAATCAGTGCAATGGAGACTAAGAGAATGATACAAAAAAGTCAATGAAGGCAAGAGTTGGTTCTTCGAAAGAATAAACAAAATTGACAAACCCTTAGCCAACCTTATCAGAAAAAGGAAAGAAAAGGTCCAACTCAATGCAATTAAAATGAAAAGGGTGAAATTACAACAGACCCAGCAGAAATCCAGAGGCTCATCAATACCTACTTCGAGAACCTATACACCAATAAGATGGAAAACACAAGAAATGGACAGATTCCTAGACATGTATGGATTACCAAAGTTGAATGAAGAGGACCTAAAAATTCTAAACAACCCAATATCAATCAATGAAATTTAAAACGTAATTTAAAACTTACCAACTAAGAAAGCTCAGGTCCGATG